GTAGGCATCAGTTTGGTTTACACTGGATTCGAAATGAAAGAGAGTGGTTTAATTTACAGGGGGGGAAGTAGGCATCAGTTTGGTTTACACTGGAGTTGAAATGAAAGAGAGTGGTCTAATTTACAGGGGGGGTAAAAAAGTAGGCATTAGTTTGGTTTACACTGGAGTCGGAATTAAAGCAAAACGTATGTTGAACACGGGAGTCGAAAAGAAAGCGAGACGTCTGGTGTACACGGGGTCGAAAAGGTAGGCATCGGTTTGGTTTACTGTAGAGTCGAAAAGAAAGCAAGTCGTTTGCTGTAAACTGGATTCGAAAAGGTAGGCATCGGTTTGGTTTACACTGGAACCGAAAAGAAAGAGAGTGTTTTGGTGTACACGGGAGTCGAAAAGAAACAGAGAGGTTTGGTTTAGACTGGAGACGAAAAAGCAGATAGATACTGCTTTGCATGAGTCAAAATGACAGGCATAGGTTCGGTCAACTGGTGGGCCTTTTTATGGTATGTTAACACTTTTCGTGGTGGGTGGAGATTATCTTATTCTTGGCGTACACCATGAGAGTGTAATTGCATAAAAATTGATTTTATTTTTAAAGAATCATGGAGATCGAATTAAATTATTTGATGAGGTGTAACTACATTTATATGAATAAAGATATTTTTTCTAGAAAGTACCGGAAAGATTTGCCACAAGTGTATGTTATCATGGGTCCAGGTAATCTTAACCATGAGACGTTCTCCTCCTCCTCCTCGATCTTAACAAATACCTTATCGTTAACCTATTTTTCTTTCGAGATAACGCTTCCGAGAAATAAACCAGGTGTAGACTTTGGCTGTTTTAGATTCCAAGGACGAAACAGTATTTTTTTTAATAACGAACTATTTCTTTTCTTACCGCATACTTCTACTCGGACATGTAATAAAATTTGAGTTTCTTTTCCCGCGTATTATAGCCTTGTGCATAACAATCTGGTGGCAATAAATTTTTATTAACAGTGCCTTGCTTATCAGGGTCTTTTTGCCAGGGGCAGTTGGTTCTATCCCAGTTAAACAAATGTAACACGATAAATATTAAATAAATTATTTTTTTCTGTGTTTCTTTACTTTCTTTCTTTATTAATTTACACTCGAATCGACCATGATTAAACCGGCAAAGGTCATTAAATACAAGATTATTCATCTGATTTGATTTAAGAAAAGGAAAAAAGAATCTGCTGCCATTGTTATGTAGACTGAGTAAAAGCATTTGATAAGGTCTGACACAAAGATATATTTGAACTGCTAGGAAAATATTTTTATATTATAGTTAATCCAGTACAAGACCACAGAACCACTCAAGGTAAAATGTTAATGAATTAATTTTTTCTAAGAGAATGAGGAAACGGTTTTATTTATGAAGATATATTGGATAGATAATGGTTGACCCTAGATATAAATAGGTTAGGATTGTAGTGATCGGGGAAGAATCAATGAGGAATTTTCTTCTAAAAATTAACAGGAAAGATCTATCTGAGTGGTTCTTACCAATATGAATTGAATCGGGATAAATTAGCGCGATAGCGGGTCCTAACTGAAAGTCTGAAATCTTAGAAACGTCAGGAGTATCGAAAAGTTATCAACGATTCGTCTGTGGAATTGGAATGGTGTAGTTTGAAATACTCCATGATTTACGAGGCTGGGCGAGGAGGACTGGATAGCGCCAGCTGAGATGTGGTAACAATGGTCTATTATTGGTCTGTTCTAACTCATGTAAAAATGTACGATTAGAATGGGAGTCAGGTACTTTCCGGAGGTTCACAAGGAACCGAACATTCTTCCAGTGTATTGGTAACGATGTTACCAATACATGAGTTCCATTTGACGTCTGGACTGAGAGTTAGACCAAACAGAGGTAAGAGACAAGGAAATTCATGTGATTTCCAACGGCTCGTCAAGGCTGGAGGAAACTGAATGTCTGCTCCTTTGTGGTAGAATATTACTAGCTTTATTCAAAAGTAGAGAATGATACAAAGCAGTCTTTCCATATTGAACAAAGAGAACGAGGTGAACGGAAGAACCATGAACATTGATTTGGTTATTTAGATTATTTGAGGTGAATATTTAAGTCGTGGTACCATTTGCTAATGTATTTACTAATACTCTGAGAATTCTCTGGGACAGATCGTTTAGTATAACGCTGAAAAAGCCTAGGACCGAGCAGACAACCTTTCGGACGCCTGTATTGTGCTCTGATGCTTCTATTTGGTTTTAGAGAACTTCTCATTAACGATTCATTCGTAGGCGTTTGGGGAAAATAATAGAATAATCCTGAACATTTATTGGAAACAAACGTCTTACATGTGAATGGAAAATGAGTTGAAGGTCTATACAAAAAAAATATATATATATATAAAATGACGTCAGATTGTGGATGCCTTTACTCAGCTGACTTATTCAAAATAAACTGCGAAGTAATCCTGGGAAAAACATAACCCTTCTCATGAAAACCCAAACCTATTAACATAAATGTAGACTCCAAAAGAACATTGCAAGAACTAGACAACTTGTTAAAAATAAATCAAGAAGAAAGGGCTAACTATTAACTCCGATAAGACAATGGATATTATCGAAAGAAATACCAGTATTGACGGCCGAAATTGTGAGCATCGGATTGGCGAGATCGGAATCAAGCAGAGGCAGAATTTTAACCATAGAGTCGTAAGAGAAAACGGAAAATGTGGCACCGAGATCTGAAGTAGCACGAGAATAACGAAGTATGGCATCCAGAGAGTACGCAAGGATTAGGTTTGGTTTGGTTTATTTTGTTTTACGGCATATCAACCTCAATGGGTTATTTAATGCCGACAATACATTTTTTTTTGGTTTAGATTCGTTTTCAATAGAATATGTATTTTTTAATGGTTTAGATTGGTTTGTATTTATTTTTTTTTTAGATTGGTTTATTTATTTTGTTTTTACGGCATATAAGCCTCAATGGGTTATTTAATGCCGACAACATTTTTAGGATAGATTCGTATTAATAGAATATGTATTTTTTGGTTTAGATTGGTTTGGTTTATTTTGTTTTACGGCATATCAACCTCAATTGGTTGTTTAATGCCGACAACATTTTTAGGATAGATTTGTATGAATAGAATATGTATTTTTTGGTTTAGATTGGTTTGGTTTATTTTGTTTTATGGCCTATCAATCTCAATGTGTTACTTAATGCCGACAATATTTTAAAGATAGATTTGTATGAATACAATATGTATTCTTTGGTTTAGATTGGTTTGGTTTATTTTTTTACAGCATATCAACCTCAGTGGATTATTTAATACCGACAAAATATTTTCATTGTTGGTAATATTTTGTTTTGTCAAAAATCTGTTTTTGGTAATATTTTTTCTTCAAAATTGTATTGGTGGTAATAATTTTGTTTCAAGAAAGTATTGCTAGTAATAGCTGGGACCCTAATAGGTGCTACCACCCCGTGTCAGGTTGGACTTGAGAAAACCAGCAATTGAGAGGTGGTTCCACGCTCCTCAAATCCTCCTGATCAGAGGCCTTGCTGCTGGATGTAGTTTATCGTCTTACCCAGGACGCGGATGTAGTATAATGTCTTACTCAGGACTAACGCAAGGATTAGGAGAATTTTCTTAGAAACAAAGAGAATATCACTAAATTGTAATGTAATATCAATCCACGTATATGGAAGTTAATGCTGGACAATTTCTTCACAGATGAAGACGAGACTTGAAGCAAAAGAAATGTGATTCAGCAAACGGTTGCTCAAAATACAATGGATAAAATAAACGGAGCGAAAATGACCTTTACACGCAAGTACCTTACTTCACCTTCTTTACAAAACCATCAAACCATTAAATGGTATACTGCTGCCAAATCTGAACCGGAATTACACACTTTTCAATCTTCATAGAATTCAAAAATCTCTATGTGGCCTTGTGGGTGATGTAATATTTTCCACTTCATAAGACCTATTCTAGAAATTACGCATCGTGTTCCTCTCGGTATTCGATCGCTATTTCCATATCAAGCATTTTGATGAAATCTCTCAACTATTTCCGCCGGTACCGGCATTCAAAACTATAGCCGGCCCTGCTGCGTCCACGGGGAAGAATCATTCTCATTCCCCATTTCGTATTCCAATAGCAAGAACATGTTCTACTGAATTATCTTATTCCCAAGAACCGCTACTTTAAGGAACAGAATCACGATAACATGTTTTCCCGATCACTCCAATCTTAAAAATTTCGGCGCGTTCCCAAGTTGTTAGAAAGTTCGCTTTGCGATGATGATACTCGTGTTCGAATCTCACCATAGTCGGTCTGTCAGGAAGGGGATGTTATCAACCTGAGGAGGTGATCCCAACTAGCGGCACTTTTAGAAAGTGCCTGAAAACCACAGCACCTGTTGACAAAAACCTTGTAGGCAAAATAGTGCAGACGAAACTATTCAAGAGCCGTTATATTAGTACGATGTCACAAGTTACAGTATACACCACAGGTGAATATCGTGGATGTTGAACAATCACAAAAGTGCCTGAGCAGGCGTCTGCAAAAGGGATTGACTAATATACTTGGATACGAGCGGCCAGTCTAGGACTAACCGTCATCTTTCATACATATTCTCATCAACTGCATTCATTCCTCCCCCACTCCCCACTTATATTCCATACATCAAACATTCAGTTATCTTCAAGTCCTGGGTTGGCATAATATCGTAAGCTACAATTCTTACTTCCTACTCTTACCCTCATAAAACGCTGTCATTCAGAAAACCTCTACCTTGAGGGGCACTTCGGCATTGCTAACATTAATAGGACAAATTAGAAAGAGACACTAGGACTGGAAGGCTTATTTCATGGAAGACAGTTTTTTAATAGAAAAATTATTATTAAGTAAACAATGTCTGTATATTTTCAGGATATTTCTTTAATTATGCTTATAATATACAGTCTAAATTTCAACTTATATATTTATGCAGGGTGTACAATAAATACTTTTACAAAAATAAAGTGATAGAAGAGTTATTAGACAGACAGAGAAAAAGATGCAAAAAGGAAGGAAGGAAGGAAGGAAGGAATGAAGGAAGGAAGGAAGGAAGGAAGGAAGGAAGGAAGAAAGGAAGGAAGGAAGAGAGAAAAAGGAAAGAAATAGAATAGTTATTCAGCAGAGAAAGAAAGAAAGAAAGAAAGAAAGAAAGAAAGAAAGAAAGAAACAGAAACATTAAAGAGCTTTTAAGCGGACAGTAGAAAGAAATAAAGATGGCACGGAAGAAAGAAAGAAAGAAAGAAAGAAAGAAAGAAAGAAAGAAAGAAATGATTAGTTATTAGGCAGGCGGAGAAAAAGATGTATAAAGAAAGAAAGAAAGAAAGAAAGAAAGGTAAAGGAAAGAAAAAGAACAGCTATTAGGCAGGCGGAGAAAAAGATGTATAAAGAAAGAAAGAAAGGTAAAGGAAAGAAAAAGAACAGCTATTAGGCAGGCGGAGAAAAGATGGAGAAAAAAAGAAAGGTAAAGGAAAAAAAAGAAAGAAAGGCGAAAAAAGATGTATAAAAGAAAGAAAGAAAGGTAAAGGAAAGAAAAAGAACAGCTATTAGGCAGGCGGAGAAAAAGATGTATAAAGAAAGAAAGGTAAAGGAAAGAAAAAGAACAGCTATTAGGCAGGCGGAGAAAAAGATGAAGAAACAAACAAACAAACGAATAGTTATTAGAAAGAAAGAAAGAAAGAAAGAAAGAAAGAAAGAAAGAAAGAAAGAAAGAAACAGAAACATTAAAGAGCTTTTAAGCGGACAGTAGAAAGAAATAAAGATGGCACGGAAGAAAGAAAGAAAGAAAGAAAGAAAGAAAGAAAGAAAGAAAGAAAAATAAAGGAAAGAAAAAGAACAGCTATTAGGCAGACAGAGAAAAAGATGTAGAAAGAAAGAAAGAAAGAAAGAAAGAAAGAAAGAAAGAAAGAAAGAAAGAAAGAAGCAAACAAACAAAAACATTGAAGAGCTTTTAAGCGGACAGAAAAATATAGAAAGAAAGAAAGATGACACGGATAGGTTATTAGGTGGGCAGAGAAAACTACGCAGAAAGAAAAAAGAAAGAAAAAAAGAAAGAAAGAAGACATAGAAAAGTTATTAGAAGGACAGCGAGATTAAAAAAGAAAGAATCGAATAAAATGAGAAAGAGAGAGAAAGAAAAATGAAAGACATATGTGTCGGATAGAGGAATTGAAGGAGAAAGAAAAAAAGAATGAATGGAAGAAGAGTTATGAAGAGAACTGAGAAATAAAGAAAAATTAGAAAAAGAAAAGGAAGATTTGAAGCGAAAAGAAAAGAGAAAAAACCAAAAAAAAACAAAGCAAAGTGAGACAAGGACGAAAACCTGGGACTAAAAATCGAAAAATAAAGTAAAAAAAATTCGAAACAATTCAATTGGAAAAAAATCTATACACACACACAAAAAAAAAGAAAAAGAAAAAAAATCAGCGCTTTCCCTTGCGTCTTTGCCGGAAGTCCGAGTTTTCTGTTGGGAAACGGTTTCCGCTTGATTTTCAGCCAAGAATACCGAAAAAAACTGAGTAGCCATAAAGCATAGTTGAAATATTGGCCTGCCTAGTCAGGATGCGTGGCTAGAATTCTTATTCTTATTTAACTAATCTTATTGGCACGATGGTGAAAGAGCTAACATGTTTGCTTACTTTTGTGGGTCGAGATAGATGGACTTCCTTTACAATCTATGTCTTTGCTTTTAAAGCTACAAACTTCCTTATATCCACACTTTTAAAACTCTCCTTATAAAATGAACTTCTACTCTTCTTTCCCCCACACTTCTTCTTTTACTTCTTGAATCTTAATTCCAATATTAACTTGCGCCTTACAGTAGAGATTAGATAAAAGCAAGCTTGCTTAAATACTTATAATGTATTCTCCTCCTTCAACGGTTTTCAACAATCCTGTTGCCTGGAGTTTCCAACTCATCTGCTAATTTATTATATGGCTGGCGTCAAACTCGTTCAGAAAGATCTAAACTATCAGTAACATTTTTTAACCCAGTTCACCCCAAGGAAGGTAGTAAAGACAGCGAGATGAAGGGGTTACTTGGTGTGGAAAGGTTAGAAAAGAGAACATTGCTATGGACCAAAAACTGAGAAAGAGTAATCAGCAAAACATGAAATAGGGATTGAGATTGCATTTAGAATTTTGAAGATCAGAGTTAGCTGAAAAGCATGAACCCGGAAGCGGACCCTACAAACGTGAAATTCGAAAAAAGAAAATGTTAGCATAGAATTTAAGCCGACATCTATGCAGCAAAACTGTAAATGGATGAACTACATCCAACAGCAAGGCTTTGAACAGGAGGTTTTGAAGAGCCTGGAACCACATCTTAATTGCTGATGTTCTCAGGTCCACCCTGACCCGGGGTGGTAGCACCTGCTGGGGTCCTAGCTATGAGCAAAACACTATGAAAGTGTAAAAATATTAGGTTGGTGCAAAAATAATGACGTAAGAATGTCGTTTTTGACGTCAAAAAATACGTCAAAGAACGACATTATTACGTCATTATTTTTGCACCAAACTAATAGGTTTTAATACATACCAGAAATACTTTAAAAAAAAAAAAGAAAAAATATTACCAGCAATACATTGTTAGAAAAAAATATTACCAACTATAGTTTATTTTCAAAGAAAATATTACCAGCAATAAAAAAAATTGTCGGCATTAAATAACCCATTGAGCTTGATATGCCGTAAAACAAACCAAACGAAACTAAATGGATGAAGCCTCGTGGTCAGTCTGGTACTGCGCTTAAATTTATAAAGTCTCTGTGCGATAGTGAATCTCTCATCCGAACACTTACCACTTAACCAGTAATAAAATGGATATGGAAAAATTAAATTTAAGTCCACCATTTTGAGTCTAGACTTCATAAAGGTAGCAAAAACCGCTATCTTAGTGCATTGATTTAAGGCATTAATCTTGTATAAAAATGATTGTAAGAATCAGTAATAAAATGGGTATATAAAAATTAAAATTAAATTTTAAATTTTGAGCCTAGACATCATACAAGTGCCTAAAACCGCAATATTGGTGCATTGATTTAGGGCATTAATCTTGCATGAAAATAATTGTCAGTGATTTTTTTTCTTTTTCTACGCATCAAACTACATAAGAATCAGTAATAAAATGGATATGCAAAAATTAAATTTATATCCGCCATTTTGAGCCTAGAATTCATACAAGTGCCTAAAAACTCTATCTTGTTGTATTGATTTAAGTATTTATATAAAAGATAAAGGCGGTGAGAAAGTGACTGAAGATGAGATGCCAGAACAGGACCAATAATATCGTTGATTCTTTTTTGGATTTTATCAAGGATATCTAGATAGATAGCAGGGGTACCAGTTTAGTTGGTTATATTCACTTACGCACATATACCTTTGCATAGGTATCAATCTCGCCAGCTATGGGTTAATTACTAAAATTTGTAACACGAAATCATTAATATCTTTTCAAAAAATCTTACATTGTAAAAATATTTTCTGTTTTTAAATAATCTACAAAGGGTTGGTAAATCGTAAAAAAATAGATGAATCAATCAATCTACTACCCCCGATGAAGATCAGACATGCGCTAAGTGTCAGGACATAATGGATATATCCACCTAGTGAAGGATTCAGCAACTGACAAATCAAATAAGTAGCAATAAAAAGAATACCTTTTTCTTTTCTTAATAAGTTCACTCCAAACAGGGCAAAAATGCTACAAAGTTACAACGGGACACTGGGAGTGAAAGAGCTTAAAAGGGATCGGAAACCCTATCCTAAACAGCAAGAAAGGGAAAAACATCTTCTGTTCCAAAGCCTTGGGACGAGTGTGAACCGGGCGATATACGTACAAAAGAAGTACATATTAACGCTTCAAATCAATTATAATCTGAAGCCAGGAAAGCAATTCCTAGTGTAGCAGCAGAATATTTTTTATTATTATTATTATTATTATTATTATTATTATTATTATTATTATATTTCCTTTGATTTCTGGTGTTTACACGTTTCTTTCCGGATCGCGCACAGAGACCTAAGGTTAGAAATGGCCTCATGACGTTTTCCACTGAAAAAAAAAATGACATAGACAAAGCCCTTTGTAAGGTGTGGGCTGTAATAGTGAGAACAATTTTTTGTATTTCTTTAAGGCATGGGCTTCCAGGGATCCCTTCAATTAGTCTACTGGTATCTTTTCCAACCAATCCGAGGTCTCCAACTACAACGGGGATTGTTGATGTTCCCATGTGCCATATTTATTATTATTATTATTATTATTTGTGTATGTTATGTTTCCTGCTTTGTATCCTATAGCGCTGTGTCCAAACTATGGTCCTTAGAACCTATAGGAAAATTACTATTTAATTCATAGCATTTTCTTCTTACTATTATTATTATTATTATTATTATTATTGTTGTTGTTTGTGCGTTAAGTTCCCTGTTTGTTTCCTGTAGAGCCGAATCCAAACTATGGTGCTAAGGCCCTATAGGAAAATTATCATTTAATTACAGCACTTTTCTTTGTATATGGGATATTCCTGGTAGGGCGATGTTCTGGGCAACTTGTATTTTGATGTTATCTATGACACTGTTAGTAAAACTGTCCATTTTTTTTACGCACGAGTCCCAGAGCTCCAATTGCTATTAGTACAGTCTCAGTCTTCATCCCCCACATACTGTTAATCGCGATCTGCAGCTCTTTGTAGTTGGACAATTTCTCAGCAATATTCATGGAGGTGTTTCTCTCAGATGGCACTGCTGTCAATAAGCATACAGTTCTCGAATTTTTTGTCTTTTATGATAATATCAGGTCTGTTGGTTTTTATTTCCCTGTCAGTTTGAATTGGCATGTCACAGAGTTTAGTTACACCGTCATTTTAGTTAACTGTGTCTGGTTGGTGCTCATACCATCTCTCAGTGGTTTCGATTTTGTGCTTCTTGCATATCTTCCAGTGCACATATGTCGCTACCTTGTCATGTCTCTGGGTATGTCCATTCTTTGCTAGTTCCTCTGGTTTTAGTCCTTTTTTTCTAGCTCCTGATTATTATTATTATTAATATTATTATTTATTTATTTATTATTTTGAAGATACTTGCTTTATGAAAATTACTAACGTCCCACCCCAGAAGAATGGACAATATCACAGGAGAATTACATAAGAATTATAGTATAACTTTTGTTTAATTTTCTAATACGAGCTAACCAACTGACGGAACATTTCAAGATGAGTACGTTCCCCAAAATGAAACGCACATTTGAGTTGCATTTGATCCACGCCGAATGCCTTTGATAGATGCCACGTTGATTACCAGTACAGCCGTTTTCTCAAGAGAAGCGACGTTTGGACAAAGACTTGTACTTTTTATAATGCTATACTTATAGGCAATTTTAAACCTAACTTGAAGAAGTCTGACATACTGTCGAAATATGGCTAAACAAAGCATCATTTCTTTTGTACTTCTCTTTTAACCTGCGACTTTCTTTCAATGGTGTA